CCATTTATGTTTCTTTTAAGGGAAAACCAATGATTCATCCAATAGTTTGACTCATATTGTGCAGACTCTAATATAGGTTGTGATAATTCTGCAGTGGAACACTAGTACATCTTTATGGTGAATAAAGCATTATGATTTTCAATACTAGTTCTTTTTATGCAATTGTTCTGGATTCATGCATATGCTCCTTTAAGTAAATGCAGAACTCGGTTTCTGTTCCTTTTGAATGATTTTTCTCAACTGATCAAAGCTTGATTCGAAGATTCTAACAACATTTTGACTTGTCAATTTAAAAAAGTAAAATGGTTAAGGATTCAACTGTTATAAAAATGAAAGTATGAAGACATAAGTGGTCATTTTTAAAGTTGAGGATCAAAGTACAATACACGTCAAAGATTAATGTCAAAGGTTTAACACCTCTGCAGCTATTTTTGCAAACGATTCTGTGTAGAATTCTTTTGGTTTGGCTAAGCTTATAAGCACTGATTTAGCTTATTTCAGCTGGCGAGTATGCCCTTACTATTATGTAAATAAGCAGTTTATATAAGCTGTCGTTCAGTTATTAACTTGGAATTGTTTGTTCACTTCCTAGCATTATTCCACCTTTTCGGGTGTTAGATAGTAGCTTGTGGTGTATTTTATTGTTGGTTGGTTAGAGCAGCTGGTTTACTCCTTCCTTGGCATTTGTTGATTGGTGACATGGGAAGGGGGTGTCCAATCACCGGCAAAGATGTCAATGCAACTCTTTATGCATGAAATAAAAGGTAGAGGGGTTGCGTGATTCACCAGTCTTTCCTCCATGAAACTCATCGGTAGGGTGATGTTAAACTATCTTCTAATGGTAGATATTATTACATAGGCTTGGGGCTCCCATGCTTTCCCACGGGAATTTTTCAATTTGTTGGCTCTTATCCTCAGCCCGTAGGGGGATTCCCCATCCATTTATCTTTCCATTCCTTCCCTGATTCCAATCTTGTGGGGGTACTCCCATGATACCTAAGCCAAAATGCTGAAAGAGTGGTTCAGCGTATGTAATTTGCTAGGAAATATATGACTGGTTATCAATTTTAATTTTGTAAGACTGTTAAATTATGTTCACCTTGTGCGCTGCTTAAAAAAGGCCCGTGTGCTTTAACTTGTACGACTTTGTAGTCTGCAATTAGCATTAAGAGAATTTCGGTTAAAAGGTGAAGGGAGAGAGAGAGTTTTTGATGGAAGAACCATCTTGTGTTCACTTTCCCTTACACTCTGGGGCACCATCATCCCCTTTGATTTCCTCAACAATCTTTTTCTTTCCTGCCCAGGTTACGCCACATAAGGTAGAGTGCAAGCGAAGATGTGCACAGGAATGTACATCTAGCATAACTGGAGATCGAATGGGAGAGTTGTGGACAGTGTCCTCACTGGAGCCTCTAGATGTCGGCCACCTTGGACTTAGCATCTGAAGTTAAACATTAAATCTTCTTGCTTATGTTTTTAGTCATTTTAAAAGTGATCCAAGCATCGAAAGTCTCCCAATTGTAATACAGGACTCAAAAGCATACGATTACATGAATCTTTTAGGCTGTAATAAATGTTTGAGATTATTTATAGTGGAACAAACCACTGCCAATCTTCTTGGGGGAATAATAGTTATTTATAGTGTGAATTCTGAATATTATTTTACAATTCAAGAAATCATAACCTTTACGTATAATAGAATGGAGATCACTCATAACAGTATTCTTCACAATTTACCCTTAGAATGTGCAGTCACATGATACAACATAGTGATCATAGCCTATTATCCAATGGACATATTGAGTTGATCATAAGCCCCCAATCTATTCAGGTGTGTATTTGGGGAATGATTTTAACAACCATTTTCCATTTTGATGGAGTTGGTGCCAGGAATTGTTTAGTAACCTGTCTTGTTACTTGAAATAATTCAGTCTAGTTCCTGAATATGATTCGTGTATAAGTAGAGGGGAGATGCAAGGATTGGACAATTCTTTGTAAACGCCTTTTCTTTGTTCATTTCTTCATAAGCAAAAACATGGTTGAAAGAGTGTTCAGTAGTGTTATTCATGTGTTTAGGGATTAGAATCATCTAAACAGCAAGTAAATTTATGACTTAGGCACTACATCACAAGTGAAGAGCAGTAAATAGCTTTCAGACGAGGAGGAAATTCCGGATCTAGTCCTGCTTTATGAATGCAAAGCTCTCTTGGATTTGTGTACCTAGTGATGCTTACACCCTTTAAATAGTGACTTATAACGAATAATTTCAATCGAGTAATATGCATAGGCTAATTACAGTTTGAGATTCAGGTCAAGCTTGTTTGGATTCTGTGCCTTCTGCTCCGGTTGGTGTGAATTTAAACGAAAACTTCTAGGCCAAATCAAATCTGCAGCTTCCTCCAGGTGATTGGGCTGATGTTGTATTCCAAACCCAGTATCATCCTCAACAAATCTTCCTCCAAGTGGTTGAACCCTGCCTGGCTTGCGCACAAGCGAGTGAGGTCGAACACCAAGTGATCTTATCATGGAAGTATGAATAGGTAGAGCCATCATTGACATCCTGTGCCACTGGGAATTTCTCACTACACCTCTTTCTCTTCTGTGAGCATTTTGATGACCCCCCAATGCTTGTGAGCTGTAGAACTTCCTCAAGCAGAAGTTACACGAGAAAACCTTTTTAGAAGTAGGTCTTGATAGTGGCTCCAAGTCTGTAAACGTTTGAGATGGATCCCTTCCAAGGCTTAAATTCAACCATTCTCCTCGATCGCTATTTTTTTCAGTTTCCATCTTTTTGCGGTAGTTGCAGGTTTCTTTTGTCTGATAGACTTTCTATCCTTGATTCTTAGTGGTAGAATTACAGTGAATGTATGAAGAGACTACTTTCTTGACTCTTAAAATGGTTCCGTATAAGAGAGAGAGAGAGAGAATAAACTGAGACTGACATGAGGAGGAAGTGATACTGGACATCTTGAACTTATCATATGTTTGTTCACTGTCCCCACCTAGTGACGCTTAGTTGTTTAAAAAGAAAAGATCGTCATCTTTCATTTTTGCCTTTGTCAAGCTTTAGATTCCCCACTTCTCAATTTTCTCTTTACATCTCTTCGAAACATCAACTTTAAAGTCTTTTTATCGGATTAGTTTAAAGTAAACAAGGTCAGTCGATAATCCTATGACAAATCCCATTTCCTCTCTTACAACTTGCTTGGATTGCCTGCCATGAAACTACTATCTCATGTTCCTTTTGATATTCTCTTTTTTGGCGCAGAGTTTTGGTCAGTTTATCTTTGTTCTTCTATTACTTCACTTATTCGTGAATGAATATATGCTCTTATTCTTTATCAAACATTTCTACTTTTTTATGATTTGCCTTTTCTCTATTTTGGCTCTTTATGAGGTAGGTATGAAACATAAAGAGGATGAAGCCCACCAAGAAAGCTTCTTTCTCCTAACATACATTATAACAAAAATGTGAGTGATTGATAAGCTCTGATGCAGAATATAAATGTTGCAGGGAATGGTAGCAGAATTATATCATATTGGAGTGTGTAACATGATTCTTATATGGTGGGGTCTATATACTTGGCAATAATGGTGATAAAAAGTAGGAAAAAAAAGATTTGGGGTATCCTGACCTGTTTACCTTAGTTTTTTTCTGGGAACATCAGTATCTACGTGGGTGTCTTCATGTTGGGGCTTCTTTTGGAGTCTTTCTGGCATGAAGTGGGCATTTTTTGGGTACAGTGGAAGTGCATTAAAGGGTTTTGTACTTGAATCCGAGTCTTCTCATATGATGAGGCAAATTAAGTAGAGCAGTCAAGTTGCCTACAATTATATTTCAAAATAAAGAGATCCCACTCTATTCTTAGCTCATTTTCACACAAAGTGGTTTGTTTGGTAGGTTGAACTATAAACATTGGACAGGGTCGAGAAAAAAAACATAAATTTTTTTGCTGTTGGTCCTTTCTAAAAAATAAAAAATTTATTATGGTTGCTGATCTCCGGTTCAACCTACAATTCATTTATTGAATTTAAACAACTCTTGAGTCGACGTGTATGCTATGAATTACTTTTTTCTCTAATCATGAAATATTTTTAGGATTCGATATTGCTATTCTGTTGTTTCCCACTGTTGAGGCATGCTAGTTGTCAAGCGAAGTTCTGTTGTTGTCTTGTAACGTGTATCAAACACGTTTGAATTGCGTTCAACTGCCACGTCACAGTGCATGTCATTCTCGAACTAGTAATGGCGGTGGATTCTTGAATTGTAGATGTCTACTACAAGCATAGGATACCATGCCTGTTGTAGGCAACCTCAAAACATGGCATTAAAATCATTGTTCCTTGCCTCTGCTTGAGTCAGTTTATTTATTGCTTATGAGTTAATAACTGCTCGTGTGGTTGTAAATTTCGGTGCAAGGACTACAAATTTAACGTCCCAAAATTCTTTTGAAAAAAATAAGGGACTAAAGTGAAATATATTTTAATTTTTATACTTTTTTTATCAAATAATTAGATTAGCGATAAAACGAGTTTTAATACATTAATATTCAACTTTTTTTGTAGCTTGTAATTAATTAGAAATCTTGGACTCGAGTAAAATTTAATTCCGATAAGTTGGACCAAGATATCTAAGTTTAAAGAAGTTATTATTTATTAGGATTTAATTAAGTTGGTTATTGATTTTAAATTTGTTGAAGGTCACGTGTATAGATAACTTTTTGATTTGGATTAGGACAAAAAAAAGAGATACTTGTAATTCTAATTTTGGTCTTGGTTAATTATAATCTTGATTTGATTAAAAACTTTATTATTTCAATTCTGACATTGGTATACTAAGTCAAATGTAACCAATTTCAAATTAACTTTCATGTTTCCTATTTTGATATAAATTCAATTAGATAATTGAAATTTTGTGATACAGATTGTCCTGAACTGGGCAAATGCCATTTTTTTTCTTATACCCTAAATGACAGTTCTTTCTTACAGAGGACAAAAGATATCAACACAAATTGAACTCGATATATGAAGGTAAAAATGTAGATTTCAAAAATGGCTCAAATATGAGAACGATTTCAAGTCTTGCCTATGACAATATAATAAAGCATTATTACATTTTTCCCTGTCCGAACGGGATGTTCCCATCGAATAGACCTACATGCAGAGACCTCAGATCTTCAGACACCTGGTGGTGCTGGTCCATCTACATGTTCAAGCACCTGCCACATCATAATATTTGCATTACTGTATTAGCAGAAGATACTAATGACGTCGATGACAGATATGGAGAACACTACAAACCACATATTTAAAAGGTGCAATGAGTCACTTAAATATGCTTGGAATATTGTCAATCAGTTGAAATAGCACCAACATGTTTCTTGAGCACGGCATGCACACTAAAAACAACCGCCCAAAAGAACCAAATGTACACATAAAGACATTATATGTATAGTGTTGATAAAAAAAAAAAAAAATAGTACAATGGGGTCCTTGAAACCTAAGAAACAAGGACACCCTTAAGAAGGTTAAATATTTGTGTTTGGATGTGTCGAACACCGTCAGTAAATAGACACTCTCACACACCAACACTCCTTCAACCCCGTTCAAAATGAAAACATCAAAATCTCAATTTTTGACGAATGTTGAAAACTCTTTGACAGTCAACCATATGATATAGAGTAAGAGATGTATAGAATTTGGGTAAGATAAGATACACGTGCATTGTGTTTTGATGCAAAACCACACAGCATTCATTTGAACAGAGAATTAATACTCAAGCTACTTATCCTCACCTCTATGAAAAGTCCCATGTGCATGTGCGTTGCAGACATAAATAAACACAACGTTCAATTCATTTCATCCACTTGTTTAGTCAATTCATAGAGGTTGACAACTCAAAGATGAGTGCCAAAATCTGAATTCAATGCTTGAAAGCTTTTCTCTCTCACAAATAATTTGAGTTTTTGTATGCACTGTTTGAAATATGAAATCATAAAATAATGTGATAGAACAATGGTATCTGCAAAATTATTCTAATCTTCATCCCAAACCAGAGAAACAATCGTGAACACATCCTAATGCTATTGCCCTCGTTGATGTTCAAGCTGAAAAATAAGTCACTTGAACTATTATACTAAAATGGCAAAGTCACTGAATTTAACCACTCACTGTACCAAAGGAAAATCCAATGATTCACCAATTTCAGATATCAAAATAAAAAAAAATTATTTTAGGTAACCTCCTATATACATATAATTTTAGTTAGATACATGTCGATAAAGAACATTATATAAACTTCATGAAAATTTACATATTTGTTCACAAAACAGAGAAATAAAATCAAGGATCAATGTATTAGTACTCTTGAACATACAACCAAAATAATATAACAAACTAATCCAAGCACTTAATGTACAGGAAAGTAAAAGCAATCTACCACATGTTACAGGCACTTTTACCGTGTACCTAAATGCTGTTAAAGTTTCAGCTCTTAGCAATATTTTTGTAAAAAGCATGTTCATGCATTGGAAAGGTAAATTATAATTGTGAAAAACATAGGAAACAGGGGTACAAAAGCACATGACAGATAAATTTTCAGGTCTAATAAAACAAAGTGTACAATTTTTGTATTTGCCTACAATTGCAAAACCTTCCAATTTCCTGCCCATGATTTTCTCCATATTTCAAGCTGGAGGAGAAGATAAGGAAACAGTCCATATATTTCAATTTATCCCTTGTATTGATTAAATTTTCATTGAATTGAATCGATACTACTTATCGAGATGGGCAAACAAAAATTAATAGAAAGACATACGTCTCAAGCACAAAATGTTCAATTTACATCAGCAAGGACAATAGTTTTGCTTTCATATACATATTCAAAAACATAAATGTATGCTATGCCATTATACAAAATATTCTAAAAAAATGAAAATGAAATAAGAATATAAAGTTGTTCTAATTTATAAATTACTTATTCAGTACTTTCATTAATTATCTTATACTGAACCCAAAGAAAGATTATACTAGATCAAAATGTAGAAAAAAGGACAAAAAATCAACCTACAATGTGGCATCAGGTCCTGCAATTGAGTGTTGGGAAGCGCTGCTGACCTCACCCATCTTTCCCTGTCCTCCCTATAAATCCCAATAATCCCAACTCTTTCTTATCAACAGATTTTCACAAGCTAATAAATAATTCAATTACTTCACCCCTCGACTCATGAACAATATCTCAGAAATAGCCAGACTCAAGTCATCAACATATTTCATTGATAACTACGGAGATAAAATCAATGAGCTTCTGCTAATAAACAAAATATGAAATATTAAATTTCCCTCTTCATTGACATTAGTTGGCTCCTAGTAACAACAGTTTAAGACTCACAAAGAAACTACTAACGATCCTGACAAGAACGGCAGAAGGTACCATGGGACAGCTCGCAGCAAGCTCGAACATTGGTTGCCAAATGAGATGTCAGCCTAACTCCAGCCATGTTGTGCAGAGGCATCAGTGACTGCACGCATCCCAGCTCCCCCAAGGTCCTACATTCACAAGCAAAAAAATCTGTTTGTGAGAAGCGTGAAATATAAAACTATTTCGACCATCCCAAAAAACCAAAAGGAGAAACAAGTTATGTCCATAGTAATATTGGTACAATGAAAGAATACAAGCAGAGAAAAATGTTATTATTTGGGCTTCAAAATATTATTCAAAACTTGCGAAAATCGAATAATTTGTATGACTGTAAAATTTCATTTCAGAACCCAATCTTTGAAACCCGAAAGATCCGAACGAGGGTTAAAAAATGTTCTATTTTCTAAACAAAATCAATTTCGATTTCTACAATTTTGAATCTTCAAACAAGTTATGTCCATAGTAATATTGGTACAATGAAAGAATACAAGCAGAGAAAAATGTTATTATTTGGGCTTCAAAATATTATTCAAAACTTGCGAAAATCGAATAATTTGTATGACTGTAAAATTTCATTTCAGAACCCAATCTTTGAAACCCGAAAGATCCGAACGAGGGTTAAAAAATGTTCTATTTTCTAAACAAAATCAATTTCGATTTCTACAATTTTGAATCTTCATTTTGACAGATAAAATAAATAAAAACCCACGTCAATATGTTCCATAAACGATCCGATTAAAGAGAAGAAAAAAGGACATTAAAACCAGGATCCGGAACCTGGGATTGGAGAAGGAGAAACGGCGAGGGGCGGATACGGGGGGAGGACGGAGACGGCCGGCAGCAAGTGGCGGAGAAGAGCGGAAGGTCGAAGCCCTCACGGTGTACATGAGAGATCTGGAAAGCGAACCACGCCAAGCCATTATCCTGTTGTTGCTGTTAGCGTCGTCTGCAAATTTGGGAGAATTTAGGGTTTTGGAGATAAATCTTTTTTGAAGTCCAAGGTTAACCTTTTTTTGGTCAATTTTAATTTTTCCATTATTATTTGGAGTACTACGTAAATAGTTTTATTTAAAAATAAAAATAAAATAAAATTGAAAAAGGTCCATAATTTTCTAAAATAGAAAATTGTATTAACTTTTGCAGATTTTCGAGAATAGATGAAAATAACAAATCCCAACCCTATTTGACTCTTATTTTTTAAAATTCATTTTCGACAACATATTTCATAAAATCAACAACTTTATCAACTTTTCAACAATAATTTTATCAGGTTTTATTAAAATTTAATAAAAATACAATTTTTAGCTAAATCAAACAGGGGCTAAAGTTCATCTAGAAAGATGTTTTCTTTTAATTTCTAAATCAATATTTCACTTGATCATTTAAATATCAATATTCACAAAGAGTTCGTGGTTACTGATCACCAGACGATAATTTGTATTATTTGAATTACCATATTTACACCTTAGTACTGTCCTAGTGTAGATTCTCGTCAGATAAAATTGTGGTAAATAATAATATTGGACACAAAATACTCATAAAATACATAATTATTGTAACAGGAAGTGTTCCTTGTAGATTTTGGACATCTTGTCCTCTTTGAACTTATTTGTGAATCTATTTTCTGAGGAAAATGCCATCAAACCAATACAGAGGCTGAGTCTTCACACATTTTAACTGCTTATCAAAAGTGTAAACTGTGGCAGCTGATATTTTTGCTGTAGCAGTAATTCCTCTATAATGTAAACTCTTAACCGTATTTTGATTTTTTGACCAAACCCCAACTTCATCAAGTTCTCCTTCAATCCAGCACATGCTAACTGTAACGCCGCCCCGTGCTTTCAAGCCCTTAACGCACCCATTTGCCCATTTATCCTGCGGAAGAGCAGGGAGCAGGTACATGTCTTTCACCGTGCTCTGAACTAGCATTTCTGCAACTGCTGCAGAAAATCTGGTACGAAAAATTGCAAAGTTAGAACCTTTGTTTCATCGGTGATCAATGAAATTATGACAGATCCCGTCCCTGGACTGCATTGAAGTTCAATGTCTAATTAATATTCATAGAGACATATGCTTACCCAAAATTTGCATCAATCTGGAAAGGGGGATGTGCGGTGAATAGGTTACTATAAAGCCCTCCTTCAAAATCACCTTCATGATTAGGGTCCACCAAGTCGAACAGATGCTTGATCATCTGATATGCATTAATGCTATCACCAAGACGTGCCCTCAATGCAGCTTTCCACACAGTCGACCACCCAGGACCGTCTTCTCCTGTTTCATTCAAACAAATAAAATCCAAGACACTAGAATATTCGCAAGAAATCTACACATCTTTTCTTAACAAAGCTGAGGATAACTTCAAGCTCATCTAAAGTATGAACCTCTTTTATATAGTGTATAGTTTGCAGCTTTACATAGATCAGGAGTTTTTTCGAGAGTAATTGTGTGCCCCGGGAACAGGCCAAATAGGTGCGATAAATGCCTATGATGCACATCCGGATCCTGAAAGTCTTGTGCCTGTCATGACGAAGAGGATAAGGAGTATTTAATTTCTCAATGCAATGTAAAGCCTTCCAGATTAAGATAGGGAAAAGAAGAAGAAGAAGAAACTAGAGACAATTGAAAGTTCTAAACCCACCCACTCCATGATGGAACCATCCCTTGCTATTTTGGTTGGATAAAGACGTGGTTGAGCTTGGCGAACTCTTGCAATTAGAGCTTCTTCATGTTTCCCTAAAATCTATATTTAATTCAACATTAAAAGCACACAACAAATTAAGAAGAATAAAATCGATTTAATTTCAATAATTCAGGTGATAGATCTACCTCAGCAGCATAAACAATGGAAGAGAAAACTTCATTAATGATAGCCATGTCCATGGTCGATGAGTAGCTCACGCTCGCAGGCTTACCATCAGGAGCAGTAAAAATATGCTCTGGGGAGGTTGAGGGATTCGTTTCGAGGAGTCCTTCGCGGCCTTCTATCAACCAGTCCAACAGAAATGAAGCACAGCTTTCCATCAAGGAATATGCTTTATTTCTTAGAAAATCCTATATATGTATAAGATAGCTTATGCTTAGGATAATTTCTTAGTTCACACAAGAGTACACTTACATAAAGAAAGGTATCAACGAGTCTATTTAAATTTGAGCATGGAAGATCATGCATTACAGAAAAGAGAAGATAAATAGTTGCATTAGAAAGTATGATAAAAGTATCCTATCAACTCAACATCAATAAAGACTAATATAAAGTTACACTGTCCATATGGAGAAAATGATTTTAAGAATAATTTTAGGATCATCTCTAGGCTCTTTTTGTGAACTTTAAGATATGTCATATCTTATCTAATCCAACTACACCTATATGTTTAGAAGTAATGAGATTTTTATCCAACGGGGTTTTCAGTTAATCGAACCTTGGCTTAGTTCATTAATCAATGTTGAACAGTGCTTTTTTGCCGATTTATTGACAGAAATTTTTGTTTCTTACCTGGTCCATTGTATAGGTGTAATGCTCCCATAAATGTGTACAGAGCCATGCTCCACCCATCTGCCATAAAGCCCATACGGCCTGACCACTATCCGGGGAAGTTTTTGCCCATATATCAGACACCTGATGTGCAACCCAACCGCTTGCATTATAGTTCACCTGTAACATATTGCAACTAAATACATGAAGGCTGTACATAAACTACATTGGCATATTTGATAAGCTCAATTGGATAGCACTGTAGGGATTAAAAAAGAAGAAATTTAGTTCTGTTTCATGTGCAGTGATGTCCTCTACTGCAAACTAAACATGTCAAGTGAGTTTTAACTAGGAAAAAAAATTGCATACCCGTTCTACATATCTTAACCACCATAAAATTACAAATTAAAAATCACATCACCTAAAAATGTAATCAACTGACTCGGGAAAAAGTCCCTTTCATCCCTCGTTCTGCCAGTTCTCATTGGTAACATCATTGACAAAGTATCCATTGAGTAACCATCCAAACTGTGGAAGCCTCAGTATTATTTGATGTAGTGAAAATCAGAGATAAAGGTATCAGTAATCGTTTCTTTTGCTTGATTTCATGTAAGTTAACATGTTGAAGCTGGTAAGAAGGTAGAAGGACAACAATTCTCTGTTTCACATAAAATCTTCCAGAATTACCTCTAAGAATAAATTAATTTCTTGCATGCATACTGAATCTTAATTTTATGATCTACTTGTGCTATCATTAGGGCACTCCCTTTTTTATTGTTCGTGTCTATATTAAAACTTGAGAGATATAAAGATTTAAGATGAATACAAGCCAAAACATACAAAAAGTCTTTACCGCTGCAGTTCCCTTTCCATTAATTGATAGAGACGAGATATAGTCAAATAAAGGCTCTTGGCATTCATTAAGATTGCAAGAGAGAGAAGGCCAATAGTTCATTTGAAGATTGATATTTAAGTGTTGAGCACCACTGCAGATGGGAGAAAACAGATGGTCAAATTTATAAGCATCAAAGAAAATTTCAACAAACATGGATAAATAATGAAAAAGAGAAGATTTGCAATAAATTTTAGAGGAAATGAGAGAAGAAAAACATACTCCCATGGTGGCTGTATGTCCTTGTTCCAGATCCCCTGTAGATTTGCCACCTGAGTCCCAGGACGTGAACAAGCAATTAGCAGATATCGACCATACTGGAACAGAAGCTCAACCAAAGAGGGGTCTTCATTGGTTTTAAAAGACTTGACTCTCTGTGCAGTGGAAATGGTCTCATCTGTGTTTTCGCTTAAAGGATTTACGCTAATGTTCTTGGAGCTCTTTGAAAGGTGCAGTGAGACGCGATGGAAAAGTGATTGGTAGTCATCAACGTGACGTGCATAAAGATCAGCATATGAAAATCTTTTAACTGAATCCATTTTACTTATTGAAGAAGATTTTGGATCCCTTTTTGAATCCACAGGTTTGGTAAAAGGCCCATCAAATGATGATGATGCAACAAGAAGTATAATTGCCGAGTTGCAACCCTCGACCCGAAGCTTTTGGCCATCAAGAACACGCACTGCTCCTGCACCATCACTAATCTGCAAATCCAGAACTGCTGAATATTGAACTCCTGGAGGATTGCTGCTTTCATTATATGGTGTATTCCTTCTGCCCGAACAACTTCCATCCATAGTAATTTGATTTTTGTCATTTACATAAGAATGATGATGCAATTTGCTGTGTAAATATACAGTAAAATTTAGATGTGCCGGTTTATTTCCAGAAATCTTTATCGCAATCACTTGATCTGGATTCGAGGCAAAATATTCCCTCACATATTCTACTCCGTTAGAAGAATACTCAACTTTTACTGTTGCAGTGTCTAAATCCAGCACTCTCTTATAAGTTCCTTCATCATATGTGGCATTAGAATCATCAAACTCTAGCTTCATATCACCCAGGAGCTGGTAAACCTTTATTTCAATGAACCATATCAACAAATAATGATACTGCTCGAACTTTTTGTCCATAAAGCATATTCCCTCTCATTTTAATGATCAAAGAAGTTCAAAACAGAAACAAGAATGCATTCCAAGTCATTTAATCACATCTTGTGGCTAATTAAATGCGTTGAGTGCCCTAATTCATTTTGACTTTATATTAAATAAACAGAATTAGAAAACAACACAGTTTGAAGTATTGATTCTAGTTAATAATGCCTAAACCATAAACTGTTGGATTATATTTTCAAAGCAAGATTAGGTCACATTTATCCAGGCAAAAGCATCAAAACAGTGTCAAATGTTATCAGCTTTCACCGTGCACACTTCCATGGAGGAAGTTTTCTTAACACAAACCGGCTAAATATTTTGTCTTTCATTTTTTTTTTTATTGGTCGAGACTAACTATTGTTCAAGAATGCAGTTTTGTGATGTTGCAACCCAAAGAGGGTGTCTTCAATTTATAAACAGACTGATTAGGTTTTTGCATTGACAATTTCAAAGTAAAGTTTTCATGGAGCTCTGTCTTAACAGACATAAAGCCCTAATATATGTGTAAAGATAAAACAATCCACATCCATCCGAAATTCTGAAACTAATATACCTAGTAGGCAAGTAACCAAGAAGCTTACATTAGATGGTTCCCCCGACAATTTGAGCGCTGCTGTGGTAGCTGCTGAATATTGTCCTTCATCAACAAGTTTCCTGACCTCAGATAGTATGGGTGGAACACCAAGGTTTGTATAATTACCAGGAATTCCGGTCCAAAGTGTGTCCTCTGTTCCAAAGAGAAAAGAAGAAGCCTTAATTGAGATTATTCGAACCCTTGTCCTATGCTAATCTTAGTTCAGTTGCAAACTTCAGCAACCAATTTTGCATCCCAATGAAATTTTGAAATTTGAGTATAAATCATTATACTCATGGCAACTATGAAAAAAAATGCAAGAACAATTACAAAATCTTGAAGTTCTGTTCTCCATTGGGACCTCAGCTCTTTAAAATTCTCCATTCAAAAATAACGAAAGATTAACACGAGGGTTCGTATATAATATATTCTAGTTTCAAAAACAATACACATTATATTTTAAGTTCCTTGATAGTTAAACAGATTAATCATTAACCCTTCAATTTCACCATTTTCATAATATAGCTGGCTTTATTGAATGAGAAACAAAAATCAGCCAGTAACACAAACAATTCTAATCGAAGAAATTACACAAATCGAAGCAACATTGCTACCTGACTGACCACCAAGAATGCAGGTAAAGCAGGAATCATAAAAAATACCAATTTCTTGCAGTCTCTATAATCCCATTCTTGATTCCCAAGAAACAAACAGTAGGCCTTAAAATCAACCAGTCCCATCTTCTCTTAACATTTTTGGCAGATTTGGTAATATAAATTAAACTGTACTCGTACTCAAACATACACTTTATGCAATGGTATATCAGTAAGTGAATTTACCATTGAGATTGAGAGTTTCATTGGCAACACCACCCCAAACCATAGCGCCAAGGCGGCCATTGCCGATGGGTAAAGCATCAGTCCAGTGATTTGCTGGTTCATTAAACCTAACCTCAAGAGGCCTCGAATTCTGAGCTCTCTCTAATCTTGGGCTCCACACGTCCCTATCTGTAAAGGGTTTTTTCACCCATTCCCTATCTCCCACTGCAACCCCATTAAAAAATCCGAACAAAAATCCCAAATGCACAACAACAAATAAGGAGAAAAAGACATCAATTCTTTTCAGTATCATTAAAACTACTTACAAAACTACACTTAAAATCTTATTTTTAAGCCAAAGATGCAATCTTTTTGATGAATCTTCTCTCTTTATGAACAGAAAGAATGGGATAATGTAAGTACTTAACAACAATCCTTGAGAAAAAGAGCGGCTGGTGTGGTGGACACAAAGAAATGTGAGCCATTGCAATGAATGCAAGCGGATCAGATGGGACCTCTCTAAAATCTACTCTGGAAATACCCCTTTTTCTCAGAAAACAGCGGCTTTTATTACATTTAACATGCTTTATTTAGGTTGTCCAAATATTTTATGTCTGATTTCGTGATCTACAGTTCTGGCCATTGTAAATTTTTCGCATGTGATGTCCTGTGGGAATGGTATTGATGAATGAATCTTGAATTTTCTATGAACAAGTTGAACATGTGAGGGATGGGGTACCAGCCCAGCAACCCAAATAATCAGAGATTTTGCATTTTTGTTCAACAGACAAGGCTGACCCACTTTTGCTTGTAAAATTAATGTTGATCAACACCGTTGTTGATACCAGGATATTTGCAGATCCAAATTATTCTTTTCCTAAAATTATGAAATAGTTGTTCATGTTTGATTAATGTTAAAAGTGGCAATGTGGCAATATCAATAACAAAGTCAAGAAAGGATTTCTGAAGTCGTGTTAGAGATTAAAATCAGATTTTTAGTAAATTTTGATAAAAGTTGATGAAATGTGTAATTGAAAAATTATGAATCCTATAAAATGTGCAGTTAAAGTTAATTATTGATTTTGACTTAAATTTTAATCAAATTTTTTAGCACTACCAAATAGCTCCCCTATTTGACTTTCGTTTTTTTAAAAACTTATCTTTCCCAAATTTATTTTCAATCACATTCTCTCAATAAAATAATTTTACACATAAATTCAAAATTTTTCTCATTTTTTAATCATATTTTCTCAAAAATTCATTATTATAAAATCTACTTTTTCAGGAAAAACAAAACTCAAATAATTAATAGAGCAATTACATTATTTATTAAATAATTCTTTGTTAGGCACGGATACAAGTTCAAAGTCAATAATTTAATACTGGACTGTTGTGTTTACATGTAGATTTTATCTAATATTTTGTTTTAATTAAATATGGTTTTGACTTTTGAGCCAAATGAGCCTCAAGAAAAACGGATGTCTAGATGAGGACCAGAAAAAAACCCACAGCTTTAACTGCATTCCCTTTTGTTCAACTTTCCTCGTCAACTGCTGCATTGGGTTGCATGAGAATCGTCCTGGGAACATAAATTTAGTCATCTCATTCACAACACTGTTATGTATCATCACGGATGATTAGCACCAATTTAAATGTCGACAGACCTTCATTACATTATTCATTATGTTAGAATATATTATTGGACAATACGAAAGTAACATCGGCATCACTTTAACTTGTGCTAACTACAATGACGGTATGTGGCATCACTCTTTCGATTGCCTACCATTTAAAACCAAGAATGATAGCATTTTCAGGCATGCAATGTTGAACAATATTCTCAACTTGTTTGCTAACATGGCGTCCCGAGCAAAATTTTATATCTGCATATTGTATTGATTTCGAAAGCAAATACATCAATTTTATCGAGTTGAACCAATAATCTATGCTTTTCGAATATGAATCCACATAAATGTTAGACTAACCCCTATTTGAGCCCCATTTTGGTAAGAAAATATATTTTAAAGTAGTGAATTTTTGCAGAGTAGGGTTAAAAAAAATGAAAAAAAAAAGGTTTTCTAGTTATGTGAAATTATTTTATAGAAGAATGTATAATTGAAAATGAGATCCAAATATAACCTAAGCCCTTGTTTTAGTCCCATTTTTTTTTCATAAAAATGTATTTTTGAATAGTGTATTGATGTGAAATGAGTGGTTGAAAAATAAGGAAAAGTTTTTGAATTTGTGTGTAATACTATTTTATTGAAGAATGCATAATTGAAATGACGTCAAAACACTATTTAAAAATGATCCAAAGAACGAGTCTCAAACAAGGGCTAAATCTATCTAGCATTAATGATAATAATGTTAGTGTAAGTAATATATATTTTCAAGGGTTATTCTCCTTGTACAACATTGTACACGATTATAGTCTCCTCACATGAGAAGGCACCACGATAACTTTGAATGATTGCAGGCCACTCATGTGAAGGGACTGTAAGTCTTGCTATACAAGCACAACCCTATTTTCATAGTCTTTATTTCATTTTCAAAAAGTTTGAATAAAGTTCATTGATGTGATGTGGCTTTGGTGCCATACTGACATCACACATGGTCGCCATCAAATCTACTTCAAACGTTTGGGTTCGTACTGAATTAGATGACAACAATTAAAAATTATATTTTTACATTTAAGTCAACTTGTCATTTTATTAAAAAAATAAGAAAAAAATTGAACCCCAACCTTAAGGGTCCCCCACCGCGCCTATCCTGGAGTATCGTGAGGGAGATAAATCGCAGGTTATGCCTCCAAGAGTATAGGGTGGAAGGCTACTTGTACACTTGCACTTACCCAAAAGTCAAATCCATATTTCAGGATTCAAACCCTTGACGCGGCAAACTCAAGTAAAACTGAATTTCTCCACCCTCCCTTTTTACCACTTGGAGATGTGTCTTGGGGGCCAACTTGTCATTTTATTGCCACGTGAGATGATAGAAAGATTTCTCAAATTTGAAGAGTACTATAGGTTTACTTAGTGATATATGCATAACCAACTGTATAATCTAATGAGCCACAATCCAATCTAGTGGTTGAAGAGTACTATAGGTTTACTTAGTGATATATGCATAACCAACTGTATAATCTAATGAGCCACAATCCAATCTAGTGGTGGCAAATGGAAAGAGCCTCTTGTTGGCTCGACTCTTCTCAATTTGATTTATGGGTAACTCGGACTTGTATTGAGACGAGTCATGAGTCAAGTCAAACTCGATTTTTTTCACGAGCCAACTCATTTTTTCGCTTGTTTTATTAACTTCTTTAAAAATGAGAATCAACTCAATCCAAGAGGTCAACAAACTAAAAGATCGTACGATGTCTAGTTTGTGGATGACTGGGTTTAGTCAATTGCCACCATTCCAATCCATGGGCAGTAGTTGGGCTTTTGGACCTAGTAAACTCGATTCAGCTCAATTGGCCTAGTACGATCACTCAAATCACCTCAGAATACAAAGCAAATTCGCCCTTAAGTCAGCTGAAAATTGAATCTGATTTTATACTGAAATGCATAAAGCACTAAGAGCCTATGGGGAAGTTCTAAGGCTGGTGAGGCGGCTGCCGAAGGACACGAGACCTTACTATGCCAAATACGTCCGTGAAAACTTCGTTAATTACAGAGAGGTTGATCCGAATGACGCCAACGCTGTTCAAGAACTCCTCAATCGAACTTACACTCACTCCCTTTGGGTCCTCAAGAAGGTTACCCGTGTATATGAAACTGTTAATTATGAAATAATTCATGCTATTTTCCGTGCAATTGTATTTTGTTTGTATCTTATTGCTAGATTTGTGATGATATGCAGTATTCAGTGGATGAAGCTGTGGCCAATAAGCTCAAGGAAATTTGCAGCAGTTGATGGTCAGGCTTGCACACAATATGTTTGCTTTTATTCCCAGAAGACAAACACAAGCTCATTTCTTAAAGAAATTTTTTCTCCTAATTTTATTTGCATGATAACGTGAGATGTTGATCACAGCTGATGGATAATTGAGACAATTTTCAATTCAAAATAAAAAATACGTATTTTTCGCCCCTTTATCAAATATTTAGCACATTAATTAACAAATTGTCTTAACTATAGAGCATCAATTTATATATCTTCTCTGCAATGTTATTGGAATTGGAGAATTTAGCTACTAACAATTTTCTATTGATTTTAATCTCCGTCCTAAGAATCCGAACAGGACGGAGGAGTAGGAAGCCAGTCTGACGTCGTTGCCATCCAGCATATGTCTGCGGCCGAGAAATGAAATGACAACAATTTCCCAATAGCAAAGCTCGTATAAATATGGTGATTAAAAATTTGAATAATGTTTATTAAAGGTTGAATCCCAACCTTGAGAGTTTCCGCCGTCCCGTCCCTGAAACATCGTGAGGGAGGTAAATCGTGGGATGTCAGGGAACAAGAACTTGTCCGTACACTAATACTCACAAAGAGTCCAATTCCATATCTTAGGAATCGAACCATCACACTGCAACTGTCAGCAAAATTGAGACTACCTCACTTCTGTCCTTTGCACTACTGAATTATGTTCCGAGGGGCATTTGAATAATGTTTATTATTCTGAAAAATGATCGCTATTGTATGTGGTAGGTGATATGATAATAAATGATGAGATCAATTATATATAAATGAATATAAGCACCAGATATACTTTAATGATTTCATCATTTAATGTTACGTCAGTATTCTAAAAACTTTTCTTAATTCAATGAGATATGTGTTAGAAGAATAATACTATGCAACCCCATTAGAGTTATAATTCCAATATAGGTGACGTCGTAACACTAAATAATAGGTTGAATGAAAAGTGAAATTAAAATAACTTATTTAATTTTACATATCATTTAATGCTGCATTAAAGTCCCATAGATTGAGGTTGTAACTCACGTGGAACTAAATAGCATTACTCATATTAAAATTTACACAATTTTGGATAATTTGCTGAATATAACAATTTGTTATTCAAATTTGAAATCCCTTTTCCGGTTTTTTTAACAAATCTTAAAGATCTAACAAGATTAATTATAGAATATGAGCACAAGATATATTTTAATTATTTCATGATTTAATGTCATATCAATATTCTAAAAGCTTTTCATAATCCCGTGAAATCTATGTTAGAATTTACATATTTTTGGATAATTTGCTGAATATAACAATTTTGTTATTCAAATTTGAAATCCCTTTTTCAAGTTTTTACAAATCTTAAAGACAACATAAATCTTGTTATAATTTTATGCATCAATCCATCAATATATAAGGATGAAAGTTTCATAAATTTTGAACAAATTAAAGACCACGAGTTCAAAATGGCTAAGTTCTCTGATTCTCGTGTGTTTGGAATTGTTCTTTTATTGCTGATGATATCTGGTATAAATTTAGCCCTTGTTTGAACCTTATTTTTTCTATCAAAATACATTTTTCAACGGTAATTTGATATCATTTCAATCACACATTTTTCAATAAAATAATATTACACGCAAATTCAAAAATTTTCTTATTTTTTAACCACACTTACCTTATCATAACACTATTTTAAAATGTATTTTTTGAGAAAATAATGAGGCTCAAACAACCCTTAATAAATTTTATTTCTATTTGTATAACTAGTGGATGTTTCTTTTTTATTCTTTCTTCTACTACAGCACCACAAAGCCTTTTCGCAGTCAAATACATTGTTACAAACACCGTCCCGAACCATCCAGGCGGGCAGCGGTTCAACCAGGAAATCGGGGTTCCATACACCCTACAACAAATGGGTGTTATCAATAATTTCATTTGGAATCTTTTCAATCAATCTACCGATGCTCAGAGAAAAAAGGTGCCAGTTTTGAACGTATACATCACAGAGCTCGACGACGGTGCAATGGCCGAAACAGGTGGTGACAACATTTACGTCAGTGCTAAATCAGCCATACAATCCTTTCCACCAGGCAAGGCAAGAATTGGGTTCACTTCATTAATGTACCATGAAATGACACACATATTCCAATGGTCCGGTAATGGGACCGCCCCCGGTGGATTAACCGAAGGGATAGCAGATTACGTGATGGTAAAATCGAAGATTAATTTCGAGTCGAGGCCTAGTCCAGGTGCAGGTGAAAAGTGGGACGAGGGCTATGGTGTCACGGAAAGATTTTTAGAATATTGTGACAGTTTAAGACCCGGGTTTACCGTTACATTGAACAATAAAATGAGATACGTGTATAGCAATAATTATTTCCTCGAGTTGTTGGGAAAACCTGTGGATCAGGTGTGGAAGGAGTACAAGGCCAAGTACGGTAATGTTCCAGCCTCAGATTCTTTGTTCAAAATATGAAATAAAATTTTAGAGAAATAAGAAAGATTTTTGAGATTTTTATACATAATAATAAGAAAAATCCTGGTTGTCAAGTTGAAATTTATGTAGATAACTAGTTTATTGTGAATCGAATAGCTCCATTGCAGTGACCACTTCACTAATGCTTCGGAAATTTCTTCTCTCCTTCAGAAGATTCTTGGCAAAGTTGAGAGCTTTTCGTTCACAATCAGCTCGTTTTTTAGCCTCTTTGATTGATTCAAAATCTTCTACATGAGCTACTCCAACAATTCTCCTGCAAATCAAGAATGTGTGTTTATTAGATGTCAGGAAAAACTCGAACTGATATTTAATGATAATACCAACTAAGATCAGCTTTCTAACAAGCAACAAGAAAAAATTTTCAATGTTGGGAAGAATTATTCGGACATCTGTACATAAACGAGCAACAAAAGCTTGTGATGTACAAACTCCAATGTTATGATATAAACTCAACACAAATAGAAGTCACCGCCGATATGAGATAAAATCAGCATAAGGCACGATAATTACGCAATGTTGAGAATCTAATTCACAGTGGAGGTAAGCCCGTCTAACCTTATCATTTTGGCAGCCCCAAATCCAAGAGTGTCGTGGAAAAGTTCTTTCATGTATTTCTGTTTTACCAGCAACTGTACGTCTGGATTATTATAAATTGCAGGAAGATATGCCTCTCCAGGACCATCCTTGTGTTCATCCCAGAGAGCAGTAAACTTCTTATAGAATAGGTTCCAAGTCTCTGTTATAGTCTTCAAAATCCATACTTTATATGGCTGCATTAGAAGAATTTTTTCTCTGATAAGCTACTGAATTAAGTTAATGTATTCTGCTGGATATCTTGTGATTCTTACGAAAGGGAGAACAGATGGAATTGGCATTAGTTTCATTAAAATATGGATCTGAATATCAAACATTCCAAACAGGCATAATCAGGTGGGAAATTTTGAAAAGCAAAAACGACATAGAAGTTTAGGAAGGAGACCGAAAAGGTAAATAAATCCCAAATCTACCCATTCTTATTACTACCTCGCTAACAGGAGGTTAGTGGGACCTCAATCATGTTACCTAGGGAGTAGTGAAGCACAAAAAAGAGGAACCAGTTATGACACAACTTTCTCTTCAGTAACAACCTCCGTATTTCTTTTCAGCTGACATCTACATCCTCCATAAGTCTTAGAAGGGTGCCCATTGTTTTGCCCCACGGTCCATTTCAATTACTTCATCAACTCTTGCTATTCTAGAGGAGAAATACTTCTGTAGACTGTTCACATGGTGCGACTGTCCTATTGGGGAGGATGGTGCAACGGTCCTATTTGGGAGGGCCACCTCGGCCGTGGCCCACCACACACAGAGGTGGCGCCTCAGAGTTGGGCAGTCACCACGTGACGGTGCGATCGTCCTACCAAAGTATTTCTCATTCTAGAGATGCTACAGCTGTGTTTTATCACAACTAAAATCGTCTACCATGATGATACGCAAGATCTAAAAAGGAAGTTGGAAAGAGTAAAGCCTGAAAGAAGAAATTTTCTCCCAACGAAAATGTTCGTGAAATAAAGAAAACCACTAAAATATTATTAGTTTACTACAACACGTAGTTACATTGATTAACTCTGCGGATACATCTTTAGGGTATATTTCAAAACAACAATTCAATTTCACTTTAGAACAAATGCGTCCAAGAACCTCACTACCAAAATTGATTTTTTTTTCTTTCTACAATAAATCTTGCTTTCAAACTAAAAATCCAGGGTGGGGTAGATTTATGCGCCCTAGTGTGTTTACACAACTGATATTTATTAATTTCAGGCAAGTCCTCTCATCGTAACATGTATAGGTACGATTAATTTATATACTATATTCATGATAAGACTCTAACTGGAGTGGAAGCAATCTAGCAAGCAATTAAGAGAAGGAAAATTCTAGAAGATACCATTTCTAAGGGGTTGGGTAGAGATGAGCAAACTGAATAGAATCTTATGTCTAGGGGAAAAAACTATCTGAAAAAAAAATATACTGGAGAAGCAGGGAATTACTGTGAAAAAATCAAGAAAGATAGTCAGAAAATTAGTAGAGATGAAAAGGGATGTGGAGTCACCTTTCGATCATTCCCATAGACAGCGTGTCCATCTTGTGCAAAGTAAGCTAAAATCAAATTCCCAACAAAAGCTCCAATATCAAATCCCATTGGCCCATAAAAACCGAATTCTGGATCTATAACTTGAGTTGAATCTACAGTAACCATGACAGAACTTGTATGGAGATCACCATGTATAAGAGCTTGAGCTCTTTCACAGAATCTGGAAAATTACCAAACAAATGTAAGGATAAATTCCACATTCTATTGAAAAATTATAAAAATGCAGTATAAAGAATTAAATTTTAATGCTGCAGATTACTTTGATTTTAGCTCAGCAATTTCAAACTTCAAAATGTTATCCCCCCGAACTGCTTCGGCATCAGAATCAAGATAAGGAGATGTCCAACGATTATGTTCAGACACTTTGTAAGGGTCAGAAAAGACAACCTTCTCAGTGAGTCTGCATAACTCCACATTTCCACAATATTTAGCAACTGCGCAAAAAATGAGGTATTAATAAGGCACGGAATGGAATCCAGGAAGAGAATGAAACTCATCATTATTTCTTAAATCTAGCAAAGAATGGAATCCAGGGAGAGAACTAATAATGAATAGGAAAGGGAGGAGAAGGTAATGGGAGAACATGAATGGCGACGGTGGTGCTGATCAGAAAAGATAAGGTGTGAAGGCCATGAAATTAAGGCAGGGAACACAAAAGGACAACCTAAGCAATTGACAAATTAGTACCTTAAGGGTCTGCAATGGATAAACAGAAATCTACCAGCAGAGTTATCACGTTCTAAAATTCTTGTTAAAACTAAGAGAATGGAGGAAAAATTGTGAATAACTTCTGTATTTTGTGTTGAATAAAACTGTACAAGAGTCATCCTTTTATAGGTGAAGGAGGCAAGCACATAAGGTAAGTAATTAATGCTAATTACACGAATCATGCTCTAATTACACAAATCATGCTTTGGTCAATCAATATAATTAGGGAGATATGCTAACAATTCTAGTACAACATTCTGATAAACAATTGCAGTCGAGTTCAGATCTAGTACGACTGTTAGATAATCATTAAAAAATAAATAAACAGAAAAAATTGAAATTGAATATGTTATGAAGTAGAAAATACATGAACCTATTTGTATAAGACCATCCAAATTACTTACCTGCACTTTTATGATCCGTTGTTGTAAGGTACAGAAGGGACGTGTAGAATAGAGTTTTAGCCATATAGTCTGATATGTGCTCCGCAACCAATGGATACTCAACCCCAGCAATCAAACCCTTTCTTAAGATTATATGAGGAGGCTCAATGTACTGCATGCCGATCAAACACATCGAACTGTCAAAATGGTAAACCTCAGGAACATGGTCAGGACACAAGCGACCGTGCTCCTTTAGCGTTGTTGTTTCAAAATAGGCACGTTCTTTTGCCATTGGAGATGACTCCCCTAAACAACGAACATAAGGAAGAGCCTGCAGAGATTTATAACCAATTTGAGAAGGAACAAAATGAATAGTTTTCCTAGAGGTCATTGAGAAATGATATTTTGATCTATATGAAAGAAGATTTTTAATCCTAACATCTTCTCCATGATACGCTTTTATGTTTTAAAGTGCTTGATTTAGAAGTTGTTCTATATATTAGACACCCCGATATGTGAATACGCAAGAGAATTATATAGCTTTCTCTGGTTGATTAAAATTTCCGCGACGTAGATTTTAATTATGAAGTTTTGCTAGAGTAAGATGGCAATAGAATATCAACATTGTTGCAATCCTCATTCTATTAAAAACTACACAAAACAAGAAGAAGTGTAAGAAATTCCAAGAACGCTGGTGTTGCCTTCTCCCTTAAATCTGAAGCCTTGTCTAGTGCCCTGGATAGCCACTTCAACTGTCTTCATTCTTGCTTCGTATTTGCAAATCAAAATAAAGTTGGGAAATGCTGTCCCAAAAAATTCCTTTTCCAAGAATATCTGAAAATTACTATGGATCTAAAACCTCATCTTCCTCAACCACCACTAGGCACTAGCTAACATCGCTACACAAAAAAAATGAATGAATTTTATCCCTTTGGTATCTGGAAGCAAAACTTTTTACTCTCGCAAGTCGATCCAATTCTAAATTATGATTTTGAGAGCTGTGATATGGTACCTGTTTGATAACGAAGGAGCCAGAGGGGCTGATAACAGTATACACAAAATTCAGATTTCCATCGCCTATTTCTTTAATTTCCAGCTTATCGAACTGATGGCCCAGCTTTTCAGCCAATATTGGAGTTGCTTTGACGTACTCCAGCAGTAACTTCTCGTCCAGTGGCCGGAACCCATTGGAAGCCATCTCCTAGTGGTGATCGGCGGCAGCGAAGAAGCTTTGAGAGTCACACAGTTTGGATAGTAATTGAGGAAGGGACTGGAAAACCTTTGACTATTATGTAACGTGACTTGTGTAAAAAATGGAAGAATATAATGCTTTATGTAGACGGGAGAAGCACGCCGTATAGTATAGTCTTCTGAGAACTACCACATGGACGACGACGTGATGGGAGATGTTCGTTGGTTAACGGATGAAGCACGCTGTATCGTAAAGATTTTTCAGCACTACTACAGCGACAACGAGATGATGGGAGACGTCCGTTGATTCGGACATTGACCCAATACAAGACCGTGAGTATATAATATGTCATTTGTACATAAGTGTTTTTATAAATTTGGTTGATGAAGATGCCAATATTGGTATACCCCGAGGACTCCATATGTGCACCCACTCACCTTTTTGCCTTATGTCCTCGGGATCTTTCGAGACCTCGAGGTATTTTGGTCCTCGAGAAAACTCATACTAATATTAACATCAACTCCTAAGTCCTCGAGAATAATTCTCGGGACATACTCCACCAACAAACCTTCTAGACCTAGGTACCTAACAAACGAACACCTAAACACCCATGAACTCTATATCAACTCTTAAACCACTTGTCAGACAATTCCATTACGAGTAGGACATTCTTTATAAATAGGATTCCCTTGGATAAAAACATCCAACCAGCACAATCCTACTAGGAGTGCACTACCTACCCCTATAAAAGTAGAACCTTGGGCCATTATTCAAGTACGTTTTTCATTAATTTCCTTTCTGACTTATGCATCGGAGGGGTGACGAGAACACACCTCGTTGACTTTGTTTCAGGTACCGGAAGACTACGATCATGCTCAATCCGAATCATCGAGCTCGGGAAATATACAGGTACGAATTTTGATAGCATCATTGGCGCCGTCTGTGGAAAACCCTACCAAAAGCCATGGTTAACACACGATCAGGTCTTCCTCCCGCAAGCTCATCCGCTCCCATCTCCCATCCTGTCGAAAATCAACCGGCTCCTCATGAAGAATCCTTGGGAATGCCCGCACCTCTGCCAGCGGTCATTACAACCGAAGCCTTTGAAGAGCACCGTCAACAGGTGGCCACGCTCACGCAACTGTTAAGTCAAAGAAATTCACATCCGTAGCCAGCACAGGCGGAGCATGGCGATTTTATGGCCGATGCTCGAGCACGACCACCAAACCCCGCAAATGGCGGAGTAGGAACCTCGGGTATTCATAATATGGCCTCGGACTCGAGATCGGCGCCATGGATTCCGGTGAAATTGCCCGGATCATTCAAGAAGGAATTACAGCTGACCTGCAACGTAATGCTCGGGGGCCAACAGGTTTCACCCCCAACACTCCATTCACGCCAGAGATATTGACATATCCCTTGCCCGACAGATTCAAATATCCTCGCATTAAAAAGTATGATGGGACGACCGACCCCATCAACCATCTCATTGTATACACTGATGTCATGAACTTGCAAGTTGCGCCGGATCAGGTTATGTGCAAAGCCTTTCCACAAACGCTGACTAATGCCTCTAGGGATTGGTTCTCGACATTGGAGCCTAACTCCGTAGCCTCATTCTCAGATTTGGTTGATAAGTTCTCAGTCTTCTTTGCAAGTAGCAAGCGAATCAGGAAGACAGCGGCCTCTCTCATGCAACTTCGCCAAGGACCAACCGAAACCCTACGAGGATTTATGACAAAGTTTAACAAGGAAAGGCTTCAAATACCTGACCTCCACATCACAGCAGCTGTCTCCGCCCTCGCTTACGCCGTAAGATGTGAAGCCTTCAAGATGTCTTTATCAAAGACCCGATCGCAGACAGTGATTGAGCTCCTCACCCAAGATGAAAAATACATTAATATGGAGGAAACACTAAATCCAAGAAGACCTGGTCCTTCCCATGAAAAGATCGAGAACAAGAGGCAACATGATCCCGTCCCCCGACATGAGGTTCCCCGGGATAAGCGCAGGAACGAGGCGCCATCAGCACCTCTCACTCGGTTGAACACCTCTAAGACAAACATTTTGATGGAGGTTAAGGATATGAAAGAATTAAAGTTGCCTTCAAGGATGAAATCACCCCAGACACAAGAGATAGGAGCAAATATTGCGAATTTCACCGAGATCATGGGCATACTACAGAGGATTGTCAAGCTTTACAGCGAGAAATTGAAGCCCTTATCAAAAGAGGATTTTTAAAGAATTACGTTGGTCATGATAAACGGCCAAGGAATGACCGTGACAATCGGAAAGAGCCCGGGGCTGGAAGCAGTGCTCAACCCACTGCTGGAACCATTAATATTATCGTTGGGGGCATAGCATCCGACGGAGACACAAGTAGTGGGCGAAAGCAGTATGCCCGCCAACATGCTCATACCCCAAGAGAATCCAGTGATGAAGTGAAAGATATCACTTTTGGTGCAAGAGATTTGGAAGGAATATCTTATCCTCATGACGATGCCTTGGTCGTTTCTATGGTTGTGGCTAAATCTGTTAAGCCTTTCTTTGATATAAGCCTTGTTTGGCCCCAAGAGATTTGGGGGATATGCCAGGGATAGACCTAGAAGTAGCTGTCCATAAACTTAATATCAGCCATGGGGCCAAACCTGTTAAGCGAAGGAAGAGACAGTTTGCGCCAGAAAGACGTGTGGTCATTCAGGAAGAAGTCAGCAAATTGTTGGGAGCGGGGTTCATAAGAGAAGTCCAATACCCCGATTGGCTCGCTAACGTTGTTCTGGTGAAAAAGCCCAGCGGTAAGTGGAGGGTCTGCATTGACTTCACAGATCTGAATAAGGCATGCCCAAAGGACAGCTACCCGCTACCCAGGATCAGTAATCTTGTGGATAGCACATCCGGACATAAGCTGTACAGCTTCTTAGATGCATTCTCAGGGTATCATCAAATCCTCATGGCCAAAGAAGACCAAGAAAAGACTTCATTCATGACTGATTCAGCCATATATTGCTATAGGGTGATGCCATTTGGGTTGAAAAACGCTGGGGCAACATATCAGAGGCTCATCAACAAAGTCTTCGCCGATTTGATAGGGAAGAACATCGAGGCCTATGTAGATGACATGGTTGTAAAAAGTAAGAAGGTGGAGGAACATATATCCAAACTTGAGGAGGTGTTCGCCATCCTACGAAAATATAAAACCCCGAAAAAATTCAGGCTCTGGCAGCAATGGAATCACCAAGGACCAAGAAAGAGGTTCAAAAGCTGACAGGCAGGGTAGCCGCCTTAAACAGGTTCATGTCTCGAGCAGCAGACAGGTGCTTCCCCTTCTTCAAAGCCCTCAGGGGTAATCATTGCTTTGAATGGAATGAGGAGTGTGAGAAAGCTTTTCAGGAGCTCAAGCAGACATTGGAATCTCCTCCTATCCTCACCAAACCTGAGCCCGGAGATACTCTGAATTTATACTTAGCTGTATCTCAGAATGCAGTGAGTGGTGTCTCGGTGAAAGAGGTTAACAGGGGCCAGCAACCCATTTATTACGTAAGCAAAGTCCTACTTGATGCAGAAACAAGATACACTTTGGCAAAACAACTTGCCCTTGCACTGATAGTAGCAGCACAAAAACTTCAACAATATTTTCAGTCACATCCTATTGTTGTGCTCACCAATCAGCCTCTAAAATACATTCTTCAGAAACTAGACGTTTCAGGAAGACTACTGAGGTAGGCAATTGAACTTGGAGAATTTGACATAGAATTCAAGCCCCGTCCTTCTATCAAAGCTTAGGCCTTAGCTGACTTCATTGCAGAACTCACCCTAAGGCCTCGGGAGCCAGATGGTAGCTCGAGCTCGACCACAGGCATGTGACAAATTTTCGTAGATGGAGCATCAAACTCCTTGGGCTCGGGTGCAGGGGTCTCAATTATAAGCTCGGACATGCTCATAAACATTCAGTGTGCACTCAGGTTCGAGTTTGAGGCGACCAATAATAAAGCGGAGTCTAAGGCCGTCATCATAGCCATGGAACTCGCCATAAATCTAGAGCTTGAAAATATCAAAATTTACAGTGATTCACAGTTGGTGGTTGAACAAATCGAAGGGACGTTCGATAGGAAGGATGAGAATATGAGCTTATACTGTTTGAAAGTGCATGATCTACAGAGAAAGTTCAAGAGTTGTGAAATTGTAAAAATTTCTCGGGCTAAGAATTGTAGGGCCGATCCCTTGTCAAGATTGGTGTTCATGGGAATAGATGGGCTTGACAGGACAGTCTATGTCAGAATTGTAATTGAGTCAAGCATCAATCAGACCATAGGCGTCATGGATATTGATAATGAGCCATCATGGATGGACCCAATAGTGGACTTCATATAACATGGCAGTCTTCTAGAGGATCCTCGGGCAGCGAGAAGCATCCGGTCCAAAGCTCCGAGGTATTGCATGATTGAAGGTGTTTTATTTCGCAGGAGCCTCACACTTCCAAATCTCAGATGCCTTAGGCCTTCCGAATCATCCCAGGCCCTAGAAGAAGTTCATGAAGGTGTATGTGGGAACGATCAAGGAGCTCGGGCATTAGCCTTCAAGCTCATAAGGTATGGATATTATTGGCCAACCATGAAGAAAGACGCCTGGGAATATGTCAAGAAGTGTGACAAGTGCCAAAGATTTGGCAATGTCATCCACCCTCCTGCAGAAGACCTCACTAGCATTAGTTGCACAGCCCCATTTGAGCATTGGGGAATTGACATCCTTGGTCCCTTTCCGATAACTAGGGGGCAATTGAAGTTTGTGGCTGTGGCTGTAGAGTACTTCACTAAGTGGGTTGAGGCCGAGGCTTTAGCAACAATTTTAGAGCCTAAGTTGAGAGGTTTCATTTGGAGATCCATCATATGCAGGTTCGGGATACCGAAAGTCCTCATAACTGATAATGGCAGGTAGTTTGACAATGCACAATTTAAAAACTTCTGTTCCAACCTAGAGATCGATCACCGTCTGACATCAATTTCCCATCCTCAAAGTAATGGTCTTGCCGAAGTAACCAATCAGATTATATTATAAGACTTTCGTACAAGGATCGGAGAGGCAAGAGGTTCCTGGTCTGACGAGTTACCCTCCATACTTTGGACATATAGAACGTCCCTCAAAACCGCTATGGGGGAAACCCCCTTCATGTTGGCTTTCGGTATTGAAGCCACCATCCCTATTGAAGTCAGGTTGCCCAGCCAAAGAAGACTTGAGCCCGAAGATACAGGGTACACCACTGAACACCTCGACCTCTTGGAAGAGGTTCACAATCTGGCAGCTTTACAAATGGCCTCTTACCAAGATAGAACAGCAAAGTATTTCAATAAAAAAGTGAGGACACGAAGATTCAGGGCCGGAGACCTTGTGTTAAGAAGGACAGAAGTAGCAGGTCATGCTTCGGGCAAGCTAGGACCAGTTTGGGAAGGGCCCTTCGAAGTCATACGACAGCTTCAAGGAGGTGCGTACAGTTTAACAGATACATCAGGAAAACCACTTCCAAGACCATGGAACGCCGAAAATTTAAAAATATATTACAGGTAATCAATTTCCAGTAGTCAAGCCTGCATGCTAAGGTTCACGTTTTCAGTTCTCGGGCCTGCGTGCCAAGTTTTATTTTTGTTTGTCAGGCCTGCGTGCCAAGGTTTACGTTTTCAGTTGTCAGGCCTGCGAGCTAAGTCTGTTTTCAAAATACAATGAGAATTCAGCTATTCATTGATCTCACTATCAAAAGCCTTACCCCGTGCAAGCATTAAAAGCCTTGCCCTGCACAAGCATTAAAAGCCTTGCCCCGCGTAGCCTTGCCCCGAGCAAGCACTAAAAGCCTTGCCCCGCGCAAGCGTCAAAAGCCTTGCCCCGAGCAAGCACTAAAAGCATTGTCCCGCGCAAGCGTCAAAAGTCTTGCCCCGAGCAAGCACTAAAAGCCTTGCCCCGCGCAAGCATTAAAAGCCTTGCCCCGCGCAAGTACTCAAAAAAGCCTTGCCCCGAGCAAGCACTCAAAAAAGCCTTGACCATACGACATACTCAAGCATAAACCGTTATAGTAATGCCTGGGACGTATAAAAGTCCTCCATCTTTTTTGGCAAATCCTAGTAATGTGCTCGAGGTGTGAAGTCCTCGAGAATATCTAAATCCCTCGAGGATGTCACATTTGTACATTACTACTTTTTAAGTTAATGTGCTCGAGGTGTGAAGTCCTCGAGAATATCTCAATCCCTCGAGGATTTCACATGAGTACAATGCTACTTTTTAAGTTAAATGTGCTCGAGGTGTGAAGTCCTCGGGTATCTTCTTTAAAAGTTGATTTGCTCGAATTATGGAGTCCTCGAGTATATTCTTTAATGTTCATGTACATTACTTCTCTTTAAGTTATTGTGCTCGAATTATGGAGTCCTCGAGTATCTCTTTAAGTCAATATGCTCGAGTTGTGGAGTCCTCGAGTATACTCTTTAAAGTTAATGTCGCATGAGTTGTTACTTTTCAGTTTGTTTGCTCGAGATGTTTGAAGTCCTAGGGGTCGGGATGACTAATTCGAAGTTCGTGACTAAAAGACAATAAATTAACAACAAAAAATACACAATCATCGATCAAAAAAATGTTCAAAATTTAAACAAAAATTACAGAAGATCAGGGTGGGGGGAAGTCATCCAATATGGCTAAGAAGAGGGTCGAGGTTGTTGATGTCAATCTCAACGTCGTCCTCAAGACCCTCCTCGTCGTCTCCGCCTAATCCTCCTCCATCTTCAGAACCTGAGAGCTCTAAAGTATCAGTAATGGAAGGCACCGTCTTCAGGTCATCCGGAGCGACGTCAGGTAACTTCAGACGGAGAAAGGCCCGGGCTTCTTTCAGAGCATGGAAGTACGCCCCCGACGAGTATTCCCCTTTTATCTTGTCACAATCCTCGGAGGTTTTAAACTCCTCCCAGGCCTTTTCCTTGACGTCCGCGAGCTCGAGCTCAAAACCCTTTGTCTTCTGGACAAGCTCTAGCCTCGCACCCTCGACCTCATCCTTTCCCACATCAAGGTCATCCTTGGCCTTAGCAGCCTCCATTCTCGCTTCATCACGCTCCTTCAATAAAACCTCGACTTGAGCCTCAAGGTCTAGAATCCTCCTATCCTTGGAGGCCATGGACGTCTCCACCCCAGCTGCCCTCTTGGCCTCCTCGAGCCCTTGAAGAGAAAGCCCTCGAGCTACACTCAACATCTGAAAAAAAAAACGGAGAGAAAATGTTAAGTATTAATCTCGATGACAAAACTAGAGGCTGAAGTCAAATGTTCGAGGATTACATTCACAGTAAGACTCTCGAGGACCTTCATCCCATCCTCGAGCTTCACCTCCTTCTTGTATTTGTTCACAAGATCAGGAGCGAGGTGGCAACTCTCAAAGTCCCCGGTAAGAATCGGGTCATCCTCGAGGTCGACCACTTCGGAAGAAGGCCGAGGAGTAACGACCCGAGGAGTAGGAGATCTGAGGCTCGGCTGCAAAGGGGTCGAGACTTGAGGTTGTGCTCGAGATGTTTTGCCAGGCCCCTTCACACCCTCAGGGGTTCCTCGAGGCCTCTTCTTCGGGGGCTGCCCCTGT